AAATGTGGTTTTAAAAAGTAATTTGATATTTGAAGGAATATTGCATGATGGAGTTGACATAGAAATGTGTGACTGGAAAAGCAAAGTTAAGTCAGCTGAGCCATCCTTTGAATGACTCCAAAAACCCCTTGCCTTGTAGGAGTAACTGGACTACTGGATCCCTTCTTTTTCAGAAGCTGCCCCTCTTTTTCCTTCTTTTCCCCCCTGTCTTCCGAGCTTTGTCTTGGCTTTGTTTGTCAGCACACTTGCTTATACACAGAGAATGGATTACATTCCAGGAGCGCTCCTGCATGTTGTTTTACATGTAGAGGAGAGAGTAAAATGCAATTAAAGGCCTGATGCTCTGATAGGCACATCCTCAGGGTCTGTGTATCCTCCTAAAAGGTCCCATAGATAAGCCTCGCACAGTGGAGTTCCTGCCATATTCTTCCTTTCTCCTCCACATACCAGACTGGAACGATATAGCAGCACTATGGAGCCTTGGAAAAAATTTCCATTGGCTGACTTGCCCTGAGTGCTCTGGCAGAAGGAGAGAGACCTGATGGGTGACGTTAGGCAGCCTCCAGCAGAGGGCTGTGCCTGTACATAGCCCTATTTAACAAATGAAAAAGCCTCTGTAACTCTCCTTGGCAAGATGCAAAAGGCCATGTGAAAATTGGAAGCATGGGACAGTGAGGACAGGTTAACAGGCATGTTAATATACTTTCCAGAGACTTAAGCACATTCAGCCAGGCACCTAATAAACAGATTGTGGCAATAATCTTCGAAAAGTCAAAAGCAGCCAAGAGCAATTACATGAACACAAAAGAATCCCCTCCCCCCGCCTAAAATTGCCATAATCTAGTATTTGCAATCTAGGTGCCCACTTGGTATAGCCACGCAAAATCATTATCTGCAGAATTGGCACAGCTTTTCTTTGTGCCTGTGAAAATTTCCCCCATACTGCCATCTTGTGGGGACCAAGATGACACATTAGCAAGGAAGTCTAGGCTGGAGAAACAAGGAGACAGACAACGTTTAAGAGTTTCCTGAATCAGACAGTACATCTGCTTTTACCCACTTTACTGCTGACATAACTGATAAATAAAAGCCATTTGTGGAGCCTGCTTCCTTGAGCATATGACACGAATAGCAGTATCCCCTCTCCCCCCCCCCATTAAAAATCATAAGTCAGGGGCTGATCTGTTTGAAAAGGATGATTTTTCAAAATAAATCTATGTTATATTCTTTTTATTTGGGCTTTGAACCTGTAAGTTTCACACTTTCCAACTTTTGTTCCTTAGGCATGAGAGCTGGAAGCTAACAGACAAATGAAAGCTGAGAGTCTTGTAATCACATGACTCCAAGAGCTGGGGCTTCAAATAAAACACTGACTGCCATAAAACTTAAGATAAAATCATGACAGATAGCAACTATGTGCCCACCATGCCTCCTTCTGTATGTGACCAAGATGTGAGCCAGGAAGAGTTTGTAGAGAGAGTTTGGGTTACAGGTCATATGAGCTATGAAACTGTGCCTGACTTGAAGTCGCTGACGTCAATGGCAGTACTCTTATTGACTTCAGTTCAGCAGGTGCAAGAGCAAGGCCTGACAGCGTGAACTGGACATGACTTCAGTTGATAGTCCCTGTAGAGAAATCTTGTCATTTTTCTGGTATTTTTAAGTTCCAGCTGTTTATTTTTCTTTTTAATAGCAAAGAATGTGTATGTCAGAGATTTTCTCTCCATAGATGGTCTCTGCTAGCTGGTGTCAGTGTGTGCATGGATGTGGGTGTAAAAGAGAGAGACAGATAGGCAGAGAGAGACTCTATGCATGTGTATATGATAGAGGTTCAGGGAAGTGTTTTCTCTGACATAGGGGAGAGCTTGTCGCCTGAAGCATGTGTTGTGCATGCATACATATGCATGTATATGTGCATGTGTGTAAATGGCAAATTAAGAATTTGTGGAGCCTTGGGCCCAGACAGCCCTGGGTCCCAAAGCCCTGACTACCACCTGTGATAGAAAGTTGCTCATATTAAGCACCCCCTGTGAGTTCCCTCGTAGGATGGGTCTGGCATTGCATCCCTTTCCCTATGGCAATGATTCCCAACTAGGGTGCCACGTAGGGTTGCCAACTCTGTTCAAATCTATTCCGAGAGGTTTCATCACATGACATAATGACATGAATGAGTCATTACATCAGGAAAGCAAGTGAACATTGCAATTGCATTTTTAAAACCCATTGGACTATTGTATAAATCAGATTCAACATTTAATATTTCTTTTAATGAATGCCCCATCATTTATGCCCCAGGTGACTCTCAGCAGTCTCCTGCAGATTTATATCTAATTTCTGGAGACTCCAGGGCAATCCTGGAGGGTTGGCAACCCTAGTGCCATGAGATCTTTTGAAGGGTGCCTTAAGGTGTGAGAAGATAAGCAGGTGTGAGTAGGTAAATGCAGGCTCAAGCTCACCTTTGCCTGGCTGCTGCCTTGGCCCCCATTTCCCAGTCGTTCTATAATAAGTGAGTTGAGTGTTTGAAGTGGGGTGCTGTTCAGTTCACATAAGTTATAGACGGGTGCCACTACTCTATAGAGATGATGGCAAAGGGTCTCCAGCAGCCAATAGGGTGCTGCCAGCCATGCCTTCTCTGACTGTGTGGAGGTAAAAACAGCAGTGGTTGTAGCTTCCAAACCAGTGGGGCCTTCTGTTTCGGGAAGCTCTGAGCCTGAGCCTGTGGGCCTGTTCATTAATCCACCCCTGGTGTGTGTGTGTATTTTCTTTTGGGGCTGGGGGGAGAAGGTTGCTTCCACAAGCCTTGGTTGCCCTTTTGCAACAGGCCACACTAAGAAACAGCAGTCCCTGAGTTTTTCTTTAATTACCTAGCTCTGTCCTAAGAACACAGTGCTCTGCACAACTTTCCCCCCAGTCTGCACATTTGTGTAATAACCAGGGACAATCAAGCCCTTTTAGACTATCTTCTTATTACTTTGGGTCTTCTGCAATCATTTACATCAGTGCAACGTGTACGCAGTGGAGTTGCTGAGTCATCATGTAATGTAACTCCTCTGTTACCGGTTTGCTCTGATATAAAGGACCTGAGCTATGGGAAAACAGGTAAAAACCAAGTATAAACAGAATAAGGAAACAAGACAGAAAAAAAAACAGGAGGCATTTAATACCCAAGGCCATGGTTCTTCATGTCAGTTACAAATGATATAAATAATTAAGCTACAGAAATACAGCTTTACTGAAACCTGGCAATGTGTGGGAAAATGAACCAGATCTTTACAAAAGGGAAGCTACCAGCCTGGGCCAGATTTTCAAGCAATTTGTTTTGTGAGAGGACACACCTGAAAAATAAGCATATGTATCACACACACACGAGCACACACACGGAACATGCCCCGCCTGTCGTGTGAATCCACATCTTGTGAGCTGGAACTTGTCTACATGGAGATTATTAAGAAACTTAACCTGACTTTATAATGTGGTTTAGTTAAACTGCATTAAACTCCTGTGTGGACACACTTATTCAGAAGTAAAGTGGATCTAATTCAACTGAATTTATTTTACATTTTTTACCTTGGTTGGGACAGCAGAGACCTCTGCTGTGCTGACAACAAGGAATTCATTGGCTCAAGCCTGTGTTTAGGACACTGAAAAGGTTGGCCTTCTCCTGAAGTGAGGCAAGCTTACTTGAATTAAAATGGATTATGAGTCAGTGTCCACACAAAGGTGTTATGCCAGTTAACTAACTCATTTAACTAACCCACTTTCAAATCATACCTTTTGATGAATTCAGATCCACCTTCCTGAGTGCCCCCGTATAGATAAACTCTGGGTCAACATCCTGAGCAGAAAGGGACAGCCAGAAAACCTTGTTCCAAACAATCACCATAACATTCTCTTTCCTGTTTCATGCTGATGCAGAGCACTTGGTCCTATGGTGGCATTTTCCAGAGGCATAACCAGGCAGTTTTGCACCTTGGGGTAGCAGAACCTGCTGTTTTGTGCTTTCCCATTCAATTGGTGCCTGAGCTGGTGCCCAAGTTGCCCTCACCCCCTTAGTTATGCTACTGACATTTTCACTGAAATTGACCTAGCTTGGTTCCCAATTTAATCAGAAAGAGCTTTACTATTAACTACAGTGGGAGCAGATGTAGGCCTGGTCCACACTGAAAGCTGAACCGTTAGCATTCTCCCAATTAGGACTGTAATTTTTTTACCAGTAGAACCGTCCCAGTACAAATTTGAGTTGTGGATGCATTTATTCTGCTGTAAAAGGGCCTTACCCTAGGATAGCTTATTTTTATACTTTTATGGGAACAGCATTACTGGTATAGAGCACCTTTACGTTACACCTGAGTCTACTTTAAGGAATGCAGCCTCAATTTCACTTGAACTATACCAATGTGACCTAAACCAGTGTGGTTTAAGTGACACAGGGCACATCTGTGTGAGACATTTACTGCTGAGCTGCCTAATTAGCTCTGCAGTAAACGTCTCAGCGTCCATATGTGAGGCCCTGCAAGGCCGAAGAAACCTAATAAACTCTGCAGCAGGTTAGTACTCACAAATACAAGTACTATCCTGCTGCAAAGTTTTCTTTGTGCACAGCAACAGACATGTAGACACTGTTCTGGCTGGCTGGGGCACGAGGGTGCTTCAATGCAGGGCCTGCCAGCTGGCTAGCCCTGCACTGGAGCAACCTCCTGCCCCAGCCAGCCCCTCTGCAGCAGACTGAGCTGGGTCAGCACCCCTAGGCTGGTAGGCTGGCCCCTGGGGCCCCGGGGCTGCTTCAACCCGGATCAATGTGCTGCGGTTCCATGCACATTCAAATGGTGCATCTGGGAGCAATAAACTCTGGTGTGATATGTATCAAAGTTTATTGCTGCAAATTAATTGCACATGCAGATGCACCCACAGTGTTGCAGTGCATACCAAGCTCTGAGCACTTTTGAAAATCCCATCTCATAAAGGTGAAATGGCTGAAAAATACTGAAAAGGGCTCCCTCTCAAACTAATAATAGTAAAATCCCTCCAATTTTTTTTCTGTTTTTTTTAAGCAAACTGTTTCCTCTAAACATGTTACTGGCTTTAGAGGGAAAAGTCCTATTCTCAGTGAGATTGCCTGCAAATTCCTGTCAATGCTGTCAGCTATGAGATTTGGACCCATGGCTTACCATTATGCCCAAGTGCCCTGTACTGAACAAGGTCATAGGAAGCAGGCTATTCCATATAAGCCAAACAGAGAACTCCCGGATGGAAATGTCATGAATGGGAGTGACGGAAAAAATATGCTGGATTCAGAGTGGTCCCTTACCCCTAAAAGCATGGAAACCTGACTTGGAGTAAGGTGCTACTTGATATGGCAAAGAGGGGCACACTCTGGCTCTAAAATGTCCAAACATTTGTACAAACCCCATCCCACCTTAACATGAAGGAAAGGTCCTACCTAGAAGCAAGGAGCCCTCACACAGAGGACTTACACAGGTTGAGTAACCCCCTTAGTCTGTGTCTACGGAGCAAGTTGGAGCAGTAGGTGTGGAGAAAGGTGCTCTCAGGTGATGATGTTCTCTGGAAGGCGCTGGTCCTGTGGCAGGTGGAGGCACCCTTTCGGAAGGCCAAGGTCCTAGGAGGAAGGATGCCGAGGCAGAGGTATCCTTTAGAAGGTAGTGGTCTTTGTAAGAAGGGTGCCTGGCTTGCAGAAGGGCTCAGGGTGCACAGGCTCCTGCTGGCAGGGCAGGGTCGGGCACATGCAGCCCTTGTTTTTCTCATCGCCCCGGGTGTTGGCACAGTAATCCAGTGGCTCCTCCTCCTCCTCCTCTGCCTCATCCAGGTCCACTGGGCAGCAGCAGAAGCTGGCATCAAAGCATCTCCGCAAGACCCCCTGGAAGGAGTGCCTGAAGTTCTCAGAGAGGAAGCCATACAGGATGGGGTTGGCACAGCTATTGGAGTAGCTGAGGATGAGGGATGCGTTGTTGACTGTGGCATCCAGGCGGCCAGGCAGCAACAAGTTCACCAGCTGGACCACATAGAAGGGCATCCAACACACCACAAACATAGCCACAATGATCAGCACCAGCCGGGTCAGCTTCCCTTCCGTGCGCCGCCGCTGCTGCCAGCCCACCCGCTGAGCCACCGCCCGCATCTTGCCCACGATCAGTAGGTAGCACAGCCCCATGGCCAGCACTGGCAGCAGGAAGCCCAGCAAGGTTGTGTAGACTACAAAAGCGGCCGACCAAGCTGGACTAGGCCACAGGAGGTTGCAAGCCACCGCGTGGCCATCACGTGTGGTGGCTGTGCCAGCAAAGATAGGGATGGGTGAAGCCACCAGCAGTGAGAGCAGCCAGACCCCTCCATTGACCATCTTGGCCACCCGCGGCCGGCGGTAGGTGGCTGCCCGTAGTGGATGCACCACAGCAATGTAGCGGTCCAGGCTGAGCACAGTCAGGCAGAAGACACTGGTAAACATGTTGAGACCATCCACGCCCAGCACGGTACGGCACAGGGCCCGACCAAAGGGCCAGTGGTGTAGGGCAGCAGAGGTGGCCACAAAGGGGATACTGAGCATGAAAAGCTCATCAGCAATGGCCAGGTTGAGCAAGTAGATGTTGGTAGCTGTCTTCATCTTGGCATAGCGCAGGATAACAAAGATCACCAGCGAGTTGCCTACCAGCCCCAGCAGACACACCAGGGCATAAATGAACTGGATCACAACCATGCCTGCAATCTCTCCAACATTGCCTCCCCACTCCTCTTCCCTTGGCTGCTCTGCCAAGGAGGCACTGGTGTTGGGAGGGACATCTGAAGCCGTCCAGCTGGATGGAGTCCACAGAGCCCCGCTCACTTCCTGGGATCCTGTAGGCAGGTGGTTAGCATCTGTGCTCATGTTGACGGCTTTCCCATAGAGGAATGATGGGTGGTGGGAAGAAGAGAGGCTATTGGGTGATGGAGGATGTTACTGCATGGGTGATGTGGTGGTAACAGGGGTGGAGGCAGAGGATGGGGGCATGGATGTCTTTGACTGCCAGGGAATGGAGCCTGCAGAAGGATGGAGGCTGGTGTCAGGAGAGATGGTTTCTGCTGAGGGATGAATGGTTGTTGCTTGTCAAAGAGTGGTTTGCTGCTGAGGGATGAAGAATGCTGCAGGGATTGGAAGATGCTGGCTGCCAGGTACACTTCTCAGCATGCAGATGGTACAAATGCAGAGAGAAAGAGAGAGAGAGAGAGAGAGAAGGAAATGAGAGTTTGCAGCTCATGGAGCAGCGGCAGCTGCAAAATGTGCTCGTCAGTGCTGCTGCCCGAGCATTCAAATCCCTGTGTCACACTTTCACTAGCTCCAATCACGAGCAGCCCCCCTCACAGGCAAGGGGGTCTTTGATTTGTTTTACATACTGGCGGTATTGCATGAGAAACCAAAGCGGTCGGCATTTCCCAATTCAAACAGCAGGCATAGAGCTGGGGGGGGCTGTATAGCAATGTCATTTTGCGCGAAATCTCAGCAGTCCCGGCAGCTTGCAATGAAATAGAATAATATCATCATTAATGAGAATGGTGCTTTTTCATCTCTCTGGAGGTGCTTTGCAAACCTGAATGATTTAATTACCCCCCTGCGAGGATGGTAAATATAATGAAAAACAGACCTGGGCAGAATTAATCTTCCAGCTCCTTAGGGCCAGATTCTGATGGGTATTACCCTACTCTGCAAACAGCACCAGTGAGATCAATGGGCTACTGGCAAAGCAAAATCCTACTCAACTTAAGGAAGTGCATGGGGATCTGGCCCTTTAAAAGTAAAAGACAGATCATTCTTCTTTCATTCAGGGTTATTCTGATTAGCTCAAATAATTTCCAACATGTGGAAAAACCTGTTTCTATGGAAAGGTACAACTTTCTCAGCGGGCAAAACCCCGTGTTCTGAATTTACAATAAACTATCAAACAACCTCAACCCATCCACCCCACTTCTGATTTAGAGTTGATATTCACCTGGACAGCACTCCAGAAATGGCTACAGAAAAGAGCATTTCCCCTTTTTAGTACAGACATCCTCAGCCCCTAAGAAGAAGCTTTTGGGATCATCAGACACAGATCAAACAATCCATTCCCGGTAACTATGCATACTAGCGGCTGGTTTCACTGCAGGGGCTTGCAGCCTGTAATACAGGCATCTTGGCAGAGGAAAAGGGGCTCATGGCATTGTCCCAGATCCAGAGCAATGTTTGCATTTATAGAGCACCTTTCATCCTAAAGGACCCGCACAAATTACATACATACAGGAATCAAGCAGGTACCTCTGAGAGACGGTCATGCGGGCGACAGCACACAGCACAATGCAAGGTGTCACCACATGGGCTAGGCACCAGAGGAAGGAAGGTTTCCTTGGCAACTGGAGAAGGGCGACTCTGATTGGCCAGAACTCAAGTGCTTTGTTTGAAATCACTTCCCACTGCAGAAAGGAGCAAAGGATGGAGGGTCATGGGGAGTCCCTCTGCTCTCCCCTAACTCTTTCTTCTGATTATATTTTCCTCTTTTGCCTCTCTCCGGAACTGATGTGAGCACACCAGCAGGGCAGAGGGGAAGGAAGAAGTAAAGCCCAATAAACCAAGACAGCTCAGAGCAAAAGGCCATTCTAACTCCTGTTGGGGCAGTACCTTACTTCCCCAGTTTCAGAGAATCCTAGGCTGCAAAGGGACCTGGCAGATAATCTGGTAAAACCCTCTGAACAGATACAGGATGCTCTGTTCCTAACCCATCCCAGGCACATGCTATCCAGCCTCTTCCTGAAAACCTCCAGTGAAGGGGATTCCACAGCTGCCCTGGGCAAGTACTACTGTCAGCTTGCATTACTCATAGGTGAGGTACTACATAGTGGGCACATCTACATGTGTGCTTTAATACCATTAGACTATTGTAATGTGCATTAAAGCATCACTGAAAAAACTGTGCTCTTTAGTTAATGCACATTAAGATAAACTAATGTGCATTTCCCTAGTACCTCACAATGGAGGGCACCTATACACGGGTGTGGAGCCTGCTCCGGTGTGCTGGAAATACAGCGTTGGAGCAGACTTGATTAATCGGGTCTGCTGGAGCGTGGTAATTACAGTGCTCCAGCAGCCTCCTGTGTCTCGTGTATCAGTATCCCTTTGCTTAAAAATGGCAGCAGAGGTGCTTGAACTAAAGTTTGTTTGATGAGCTTTAGTTTAAGCACCCATGTCACCATTTTTAAGTGCAGAGACACTGATACATGAGATGTGGTGGTGCTTTAATAAGAGCAGCTCTTGGCGCTGTCCCCCCATCCCCAGAGCAAATGTAAAAATGCCAGGAGGTATTAGAGTTAATGTGCATTAACTAAAGCAGATTAATGAATGTGTAGATGTATCCAGTGTGTGTGTATGGGTTTCAGAATTTGTACCTAAGATGGCAAAGGAGAGTTCCTCTAAACTCAGGCCCAGCAACAGAAAGGCAGGAAGAGCGAGAGCCAAAGTGTGTTTGATGGCTGAAAGATACCTTTGGAGACTTGGGGCTACATGGATATCTAAAAGGAGGTAGACATCTGACTTTATGAAAGGAGTCCAGTCAGACAAGCTGGACAGTGATTATATCTCAGGAATGTGCAGTCCAAGTAATGATCCCAAGCAGCCTCTGAGGAAAATCATGGCTGCTGCAGACCAGGCTCAAACCAGGGACTCATATACAGCTGTAACTGAAAATGGCATACAAGGATCTGCCATTGTAGCTTGTGATGCTGAGGCAAAGTGAAGGTGCTGCTATCGACATTGGAATGTCCATTTGTGACGTGAGACAGAATGTTTCTATTCAAAAGGGATTTGATTACTGGAGGCACTGGCCTTATCTTCTGCTGTTACTGTTTTAGTCTGTCCTGATACACATATTATCGTTGGCATCTCCTGCTGCTGATCACTGCCATTAGGATCCATCTTGTACAAGAGCTGTTTGGATGGAATACTTTTCCACACCAAAAATGCTGAATCATGCAATTTTTTGTGGCAAATTATTAGATATGATTAAATTTTGTCAGGCAAATTTCTCCATTTCCATGGAAATCTCTGGTCAGAGAAAGAAATGGCCACTAAGAGTATGCAAATGTTCCGCTAATTAGGTCAATCCCATTGATAAGGCCAATCTATAGTCTGTCTGACTCAGCAGAGGTGCAACTGGCAAGTACTGTGCCTTGGATGATGGCGGTGTCTGGTGCAGAAGCAGCGGCTGGAGGTTCACTGATATGCGGGAGGATGGATATGTCACCTCTTTTTTGGGTTTGGCGTGTGTCAAGTATCCACTTAAAAACTGATTTTCAATAGCAACAAAGGAGGTGACATCCTTCCCCTCAGAGGTGAACCTCTGGCAGCAGCTCCTGCACCATGTACTGCTACCATCCAGGCCATCATGAGCCACCACTACTGGTGCTGCTGCAGAGTGCAGTGGAGGAACAAGGGACAGTAGCAAGGTGCCCCCCAGCTCCATTCAGGCACATCTAGGACATGTACCTTGTTTACCCATCCACTGTTACATTACTGTAATTCAGACCAGGGTCTTGAACCTGGATCTCCTATATACCACGTGCATCTTCTTGCTACCAGGATATGAGCTGTTTTGGGGTGAGACTTATGTTTCTCTGATTTTAAACAGAAATTCAGTAATGCACCTGAGAATCCTTCATAGTAAAAGTTTTGTCAAAACTGATAAGAAGAACATTTTGCCTTACTTGGAGCAGGGGTTTAAACCTATGTCTTGCACACCCCAGGTGGGTTCCCAAACCACTGGTATAATGATTTTTCTAGGATGGATTTTGCTCTCTCTTAGTTTTCATGAAAAGTATTGGAAGCTCTCTGTGGGCACATCTACATAAGATGCTGACTGTGCAGTAGCTGAAAAATAATGCACAATATTATTAGGCTACTGTGCAGTACCACCACTTAAAAGATGTTCTCCAGTTACGCACATTAATTTAATACTTGCTAGTACAGGTTTCCTTTGCTTTATGCGGGTTCTGTATGTGCGAATTCACTCTTATGCAATGACCCTTTTTATACTAAAAATTAATTATATTCGAGGTAAATTCACTCTTATGCAACTGGTGTAGTGGAAGCCTGCAGTCAGCTGCTCTGTGTGGTGCATTGTGGGAGTGATGCACGCCAAAATATAGTCTCCTGTGTGGATCTGTGCTCCTCGCTCATTGTCTGTGACATGTTTCTGTAGCTGCTGTCCCCATTATAGCTTCTAAGCATCCCACTAGCTAACACTGCAGACCCTTCTCCACCCTTGCGTCACACCAACTAAACAGTTACCACCCGGTGCTTGTGTGTACTGTTTGCTGTTGGTGAGCACGAAAACTGTCTTGTAAAAGTGGTAGAAATGTGTCTAGGGGTCAGTACAGTCGAGGTCTTGGAATGTATCCCTATTTGTTACATAGTAAAGTGGGTTCCCTTTATGCGAATTTGAGTTATGTGCTGTTTTCCAGGAATGCATGTACAGCATAAAGTGAGGGAAGCCTGTACAAGTACTAAATAGATGCATAGTAGCAGCTGTGCAGTAGTGTCTTTATATAGAGTCACCCAGTTTTGCTTTAACATGGAACAGAAGCAAATGTCAGACCCGAAGTATTTTTTGATAGGATGGAATTCTTATTTTCTGGTGAGCCCTACTCTGTGACTGCAGAGAGTGCCTATTGGTGGGGGAAGCAGGGGATCGTATACAGATATTCTGATCATAATGATGGCTTTAAATTTTCAATCCAGGCTGGATGACAGTGGGGAAGGAAGGCCTACTTCTCTCAAGGAAGAAGAAAGAGACTCAGCAGTTTACATTAGGGAAATAATTGCTCTGGATTTTCTGCCCAAATCTAATTGGCACCATTAGAAACAACTCCCTTATGGAAATACCTTGGCATATTTTTTTGGCAAGTACCCATACATATTTCCTGAAAGGTATCTGAGAAGACACGCATCTTCCAAAATAGGTGGTCAGAGATTAGATCTACATACCTACCTGCCTTTTTACTTACCTTTCTCTACCTGTTACTTTTTTTTTTTAACCATCCCCTGTAATATATGATTCTCTTGTTCTTACTTAACTTTTTCTCCTGCTTGTTCCTCTAAGTTCTTGTTCTCTAACTTTACTTTGCTTAGGATCTTTGCAAGATGCCCAATGCATTTGTGCCCCTGCTATGGTTACCCTTAAACTTTCCAAACTTGGGCAAGTTGTTTATTTAACAGAGCTACCTCTTCCTAACTATTTGTCAGGCAAAGGAAAAGATTTTTAGAAGCCTCCTATAATAGCCAAATCACTGCATCTTCTTTTCTCATGGAATATGGAGGCTTATCATACAATTCAACATATTTTCTAAATTTTTCTTTCAAATCAGTAATAGTGCAGGCATCTGCTACTGCCTGTTTGGTTCAAGAGCTATGCCCACGTTTTGCAGGGTTCTTAGGGTAAGGTTCCCTGGCTCACAGTATGACCCTCCTGTACTATCTTT